AAATGAGTCGTGGGTGCCTCCTGGCCAGCGGGCCACAGCCTTAAGGATATGGCAGTCGGCATTACAGATCATCTGCACGCTGATGGAGTGATAGTTTTTCTGTTCATGTTATTGTTAATATTTTAATTGTCACAATGATGAGGGTGAACGTGTGTCAATTTCATGGTAATTTAATCCATTTGGCCAATATATTAGTAAATTAATTATTTTAAAAAATGTTAATTAAATCTCTTTTTCATGAATGTGGTTTTATAGACTCTGCATGTACTTAAAAGGTATGTTTGCATTTTCTAAGTCAATTCGGCCTTCCTCATTTGTGCGTACGCATGGTCTGAGGCAGTTCCAAATTTGTTCGCAGAGTAAGAACAAATTCGGGTAAGAAAATATTGATGAATCCCGGATTTGTGCGTCAAACGATCGTACGCACAGATTTGTGCGTACGCACTGTTTGTGAATGAGGCCCATTGTGTCTGCATATCAAAATAACCTGCAACTGTTGGTTGAATAGTGATGTATGTATGTGTATGTAACATTGATATTTGAGTGATATTTAGAATGATGAAATGTTTTTGAGGGGTTGAGCTAGACGACTTGATTGTCGGGGTGCTCTTACACACATTTTCACCCAAAATGGTCTTTTGTAAAAGTCCTGTTGTAATGTGTGATTTGGTTTTGTTGTATGTTCTTACAGATGATAACCAAACAGATTGTAAACCAGATCCTTCATCTCTTCAGAGCTGGGCAGCTGGTCAGCACACTCTGACACCTGAGACCTGTGGTGTTGTCCACACTTCTGAGGGACATCAAATCAGCAACAACCCTGTGTCCTTAACCAGTGTCCAGAGTCCTGAAGTATATGCAACATCATCTAACAAACTGCAGTCAGACCAGTCCAACTCACAGACCCTCTCTGTACCTTTTCCTCCACTGTGCCTTACTGCGATTAAACTTGAACCAACTGAAACATGAAACAATAAATAATGAACTTTAATATACCAACAGTAATAATTGGTAATTCACACGTTATAATTACACACAATTTGTTGTCGAACCTAAATGTGTCATATCTAATATTCCAATCCAGTATGTTATTCAAAACTAATGGCACGTTATGTATAACATGCAGATTATTTGCACTCTGTTGGCTCCTCCGACATGACGACAGTCTGGGGAACCCTGCACACAACACCTGTTACCTCATTCACCGAGTACACATAAAAAAACTCCATTTAGTTAAATCTTTTATTGTAATATAATGTACAGTGAAATAAATTCTTTAATCCTGTTTCGAGTGCTTCACTCGAGTGTTTCGAGTCAGTGAATAAATGCTGCTCACATGTGGCCTACGTGTAAATTGATCAATTAATACTCAAGACATATTCATGTATGATGATTACAACACTTGAAATTAGGTCACTATGCATGATGAATACTTACAAAGCTATAGCTGGTAATCCTGTTCAGAAACACTTCTTGTTATATTGGGTGAAATGTCTCCATCCTGAGAGTAGTCCATACATATTGTGTTCAGAAAAAGGAACGAAAAAATCAGACCTCTGTGGCAGCTGCAGGCCTGTAAGAACACTGACCAATCCCTGCCTCTCAGTGCGAATGGAAAAAACCAATCAGATGCCTTTATGTCTCGTCTTGCCAACGCCCCCCTCCCTCCTCCCTGCGTGCACTCATCACGTGCCACAGTTGCCGGAAATATTCAGCACACTCAGCAGAGATACCGAGTTAGCAGGAGTTTGCTGAACAATGGCAGAGCAAATGCAGCCAAAATTACCACTTCCAGCGTTACTTGTAACGGCTCGCCCCGCTAAACAGGCTAAGAAAAGAAAGTCGTGGGCGGAAAAGGCTGCAACGAAAAAGGCTTTGGATAAAGCGAGAGGACAAACCAGAGTCACCATTGGTGCAGCTTTTGAACGGTGGAGACAACTGAAGAAGCTGAAGGGCCTGAAAAGTGATGTAGAGGTTGCTGTCTTTCTGTTGGACAGGTAATTATTTGTTTGCTTCGGGTGGATTTGTTATTTTACTCGGCTCTCCTCTGCCCTGCTGACTGACCTTATGCAGGATGCTCGTTCAAGTTTGTGGGGCAGTGGCTTTGGACGGAGCAGTAACGAGAGGGGGAGGAGGGGTGGAGCGTAGAGGAGGTGCCACTTTCAAATCTTGCTATCTAGTCCTTCGGCACGCAACGGGCATTGCTGAACACGTAACAGTTTTACCAGAGATGTATCTATAAGGACTTGGTTGTACTTTTGATGTCATGGCGGATAATAAAGGAGCACCATCTAAAAGAAAAAGAAACAGAACAGAAGAACAGGAGAAGGCTAAACGGGACAGTGATAGGGCTCGAGCCAAAACGCGTGTAAACATCGGTCAGGCATTCACCAAGTGGAGAGAGCTGAGAGAATTGATAGGTTTTAAAACTGATCCCGAGTTGGCCCTTTTCCTAATCGACAGGTATGTAATTTTTGTTTTTATTTAGAGAATATACCGCAACTACGTTTTTTCACTTCAATATATGACAACATGGAAGTTATAAGCAAGCTAAATGTAGCCGATGTGAACCGCTTTTGTCTAGTACAACAAACGCCACAAAATTATCTGTGACTGTGACCAAGGATATAGATTAATGATCAAAAGCCAGCTGCCGGGAAAGGTTTTATAAGACATGTTTTGGCTATTTATATCTTTTTTGTATGCTAGTGATATATGTTGAAACGTTAAAAACATACGTATTAATTTCTTATAATGACAATAGAAAGGTATAATTTGAAGTTTTTCCACAAAAATGTCTAAAAACGACAAAACCAATATTATATATTTTGCTTAGTTGTGTACTTTGATTATCAGAAATCTTTCCAACAATATTTCAAACCAAGGTAAATATAAAATATTAATAAAAGTTACGGACCGTGTCATTAGGTCGCATGTCTGGCGACGTAACTCCAGTTACCATAGCTATTAAATGAAGGACAATAAGAAGAAGCAGACCGGATGAGACGTCAGAGAATGAACGTTACTGTTGCTAGGCTAAGCTAACTCGTTATGGATCATGATTATGCATTGACTGTTGCTGTCCCGGTAAACAAGCCAGTAAAACGTAAACGTACGGGTCAAGCAAGCGATCCCAGAAGAATTTGGGATAAGAAGAGAGCGAAATCAAGGATAAATATTGGTGTGGCCTTTCCAAGATGGAGAGAGCTTCGTGAAAATCTAGGACTACAATTCGACGCCGACCTCGCGTGTTTTCTACTAGACAGGTAAGCAAACATCTGGCTGATGTTATCGAAATATTAATCATTTCCACCAGTGTATTGCAAGCACTGCTGCCCGCCGAGGCACCAGCGCTCCGGCCAGCGGCCTCCGCTGTGGAGCAGTGTGGAGCGGAGGCTGGCTAACCCAAAAAAATCTAACGATAGGTTTCTATAATGCTGAGCTGATGCAGATCCGTATGTTATATGACTACAACTCCCATGATCCCACGCTACTTCGTGACGTCATCCAACTCCGTTTTCTGTTATTGTTTTGGTTTGAGACCCCTAGCGGCAGAAAATTACATATTGCACGACGCAGGACTGGTCTGTGTTTTATACGAAATGCATGCACAACACAGTACAACAGCCAAGGCAGCGGAGGTGGTGACATCATCAAGTTAGCTGCTGTTCCATAAACAGAAATGACTGTCCTCCCGTTCTTGGGAAGTCCGGACTATCGCTTGAACTTGCCAAGTCCACAAGTCGGAACTGCTGAACTTCAGTATTGAGAAACGCCTCATCATCCAGTATCTCATGCCACCGGTGCCGAAATTTCGCCGAAAACATCTGCTTTACGGCAGGAAACGCGTAATGTATTGCGAAACTGGTCGGTCAGCCAATCAGGGACTGGAGCTGGTCCTTAGGCGCATGAAGAGTTGGGCATGAGATAGTGGAGTCACGAGCACAATGGCAGATGGACAAAGTATGGAGACAAGTGAAAAACGGCCTAGCAAAAGAAAACGAGTTCCTCTGTCCGAGGAGGCAAAGAAGAACAAAAAGGAGAGTGATAAAAGAAGAGGAAAAACAAGAGTAAACCTCAGTTGGGCGTTCAAGAGATGGAGGGAGCTCCGTGACCAAAGAGGCTTCAAAACCGATGTGCAGCTAGCTCTCTTTCTAATGAATCAGTAAGTAACACGCTAAATGCTAGCTAGACGAGAGAGGACTGTACTGTACTGGCTGCTAGTTAACTCCTAGCTGGCCAGCATCGCAAATCGCAGCAACCAGGGACCGGTGTGATGCCGAGCTCTGCATGCCTGCCGAGAATTGCATACACCTCGGGGGAGCGCGCCACGTCATCAATGTTTTATTTTGAATCGGTAAAGTAGCGTTTCCTCGATTGGTCTGAATAGTTTGCTTGACCAATGTCCGTTACATTACAGCCTCTGCCAAACGAGTTATTAGGATGATCATTGAACGCATCTCCACCACACAACAGTCTCTGGTTTGCTTAGAAGCGCTATTAGGTTCGTTCGAGATGAGCCAGACCTGCGCAGATTCGATCACCGGCGATCGGCGCACAATGCATGCCGGTTAGTTTTGTGTCCGACTTCATCCCGACTTGTTCTGATAAAACCGCGAGAGCGAGGCGGCCGCAGTTTTTACAGCCAGGCGCTGCAGCTGTTCTCCACCGACTGCACCACCCGGCTCTCACCTGATCTAACAGCTGATTGGTTTAGAGGTTGACTCAACAAGATGACGTTTTAGATACACTTATAATTTTTGTTGAATTTTAGAGATTTAAATTGTATTTGTCTGATTTGAAGGTTTATTCTGTGAACAGAAAACATGTTGTGTGACTGATGGTGAAGTTTTGTCACCAGAGACTAAATACATTCATCATAAACTATACAGAGTCTACTGTATATTAACATTGGACTGTTTTGGGGCGTCTGTAGCATAGTGGATAGTGCCGGTGTCCCATGTACAGAGGCAATGCCTTGCTGTGGCGGCTGCAGGTTCGACTCCAGCTTGCAACCCTTTGCTGCATGTCAACCCCCCCTCTCTCTCACCCCATTTCAATCTGTCCTGTCCATTTAAGGCAAAAAGCCCCAAAAAATAATCTTAAAAAAAAAACAAAAACACTGGACTGTTTTAATTATTGAAGTATTTAGCAACACAGAGACTTGTAGTCAGTGGGATGTGAGGATTCTTAAAATAACACCTGTACAGATGTGAAGCCCTGACTGTATCTGACTGAAAGCTGTTGTCTTGTATTTTTTTTCCTCTAAAAATATGAACCTTATAGTCAAGCACAATTTATACAGCCTCTGTAGTTGAGGGGACAGGTCAAACTGATATGATGCTGATTTACAGGAGAGTTTGTGTCAAATGGAAGATAAACCATGAACATAAACTACCGATCACCTGTAAAGCATTTAAAAAAATTAATCTATCATAATTAAAACAACTGGAGACTGAAAACAAACTGATATATGGGTCTGATCACTTTTGTAATGAATTGACATCATTTCAGACAAGATGTAAGTGTGTCTGTGACTTCCTGTACGGACTGAAGGCTGCTGGAAACTGGAAACACACACACACACACACACACACACACACTCACACTCACACATAAAGCAAAACAAAAAACGAACGAACAGCATCTTTAAACCGGCTCTTAAATGTGAATGAAAGTCCCTTTACTACAGTCTACAGCAGCCCTACTATGACATCTACTCATAGTCTTGGTTTAATAAATCTGCTTTCTCCACTGTCACATTCAGACAGAATCTACCAGGTAAACTTGAAGTTGAACTGTATCTCAGACATTTGTTAAGCCAGGGGTAAGTTTGCATGTTTAACATTTCCAGGTGAGGTTTTGTGACTAATGGCAGGGTTTCTTTTACAGTTATGCCAAGTATAGCATGATGATGGCTTCTGCTGGAACATGTAGACAAAAGCCAGCGGCACCATCAAGACCTGGACGTGTAGCAGCTGCAAGGTGAGCAGTCACAACCTTTCCCTTTTTTTTCACACACAAACAAAACACCTTTGTGTGGCATCGTTCTGCATGACTCTGGCTTCTACATTGGATCACATTATATTTTACAGGTTTTCATGTTGTGTTAACCTCATAGGTGTAAGATAGTTAATATTCACAACTTCTGAATTGTCAGGAAATTAATTTCAGCATGTGTCTGCAGAGGTAAACAGCACCAGCAAGATGATGATAAACATGAATTTACATTTCAGTAGCTTTATATGTTTGTCAGTACTATACAGACTTCCCTGAGATACATTTTCACCCTCTTACCTTAATTAATGTCCTCTTTGTAATTTGTCATTTTCAGTTTTGTGGAGATGGAGGTCACCATTGAGGAAGAGGTGGAGGAGGAAAGCAACAGTGTGAAGAACAGACTGTAATTTTATTATTAATTATACAGGATATACTCCGTATCTGAATTTCTGCTTCTGCGGCTCATTTGATTCTGATATGTGTGTTTCTTTTAAATGTAACAGATCTGACTTGGAGAGTGATATGGAAAGCACCACAGAATCAACTGAGCTGAGTGCTCCAGGAGCTGATAACAGCTGTGACGGAGACGTCTACGTACCAGTAATGCCTCAGAGGTACCTGTTTGTCTTTGATCAAGCCTCATTTTTAAGAGTAAAGATCTTGAAGTGAATTGTGTGTACTCCGAATATAATGAATTGAACAAACTTTTTTTCCCTTTAGATGACACCTTTATATTAGAGTTATAAAGACTTATATGTGGCCCACAGTTCTGACATGCAGAATCTACTTATGTTTCCTGTATTTCATCCCATCTTTCACTTAGTTTTGCTCAAATCTCATAGTGGAATTATTAGTAGAGTGGAAAATTGGAGCAGCAGTACACTGAAAACCTTACAGAGACACATGGATTAACTTTAGGTTGCACTGTCCAGAGCAATTTGTTTAGTAAAGCTAAGCCTACGGGTTCAGGCAGGGGTGATACCAGTTCAGCCCTCTTGAAATGTACCACTGTGCTAAAAATAACCCACAAGCCTACATAGAAAAATTTGAAAATGATTCTGAACAAGAATATTTTTTACTTTTTTGATTCTAAAACCACCTTTTAAACTGATTTCGGTAGTCCAGTGGGACTCTTAATTAGGGATGGGAATTGATAGGATTTTATTGATATCAGTGCTATTATCGATTCCCTTATTGATTCCTTCTGTGAATTTTCTGTGTAGAAAAAGTAGACTTTACAGGTTTTCGGTGTCAACAACACAATTTTTATTGAGTTTCTATTCTAAACAAGAGATAAGTACTTTTGTGTAAGAAAACAAATATGAAATTGGTCCACTGCTATCATCTAAAATGGAACAAATGAAAGAATATTTGTACAGCATTTTTCATCTACGTCAAATAACGTTACCTTATCTGTCATTGCATTGTGCTATCGTTAACATCGGACAGGACATATGTGCTGTCACTGGCACTGCTCATCTGAGACTTTGTAGCAGCTGCACTTAATGCCATTTGACGACAAATGCTTCAGCATGTTGGTGGTAGGGCTGCACGATATTGGGAAAAATTGCCCCTAGCCATATATATTACCATTTGTTTTGTTTGTTTTTAAATGGATGCATTATTTTCCACCAGATGACTTCAGTAGCTTATAACCGAGCCAGGCCTGAACCTGCAGCACGGCACTGTACACACAGTCTATGGAGCGGAGCCTGCGTTGCGTTCAGACGTTGTCACATAAATAAAAAATTCCAGCACTTGAATAGGCCGTTTATTCTTTATTCCACTAAATTAGACATCTTTGTTGGCCAGTCATTAAAACGGAAGCAAGTTTTACGCACATCACTCGGCAATTTATACGTGCATGCTTAATTTAATTAGGGCAAGCCACACGTCACAAGCCCCGTGATGTAAATATTGCACACGTGTGCATCGTGATGGCGATGCTTAAAAGATAGATTGTTCAGGCCTAGTTGGTGGTGTTTCCGCCCTTGCATGTAATCACTGTGCTGCATAAATTGCACGTCGCTCTGTTAGTCTTTTGGTGAAGTGAAGGCTCGCTTTCGACTGCTTCTGTCTCTCCGCCATTACATCTTCTTTGTTGTTGAATGTGCTGCTGACTGACGAGCGTGACATGCGTCATCGATGTAAAGATTTGGTGTAATGAAAATCAATAAGGGAATCGTTAAGCATAAAGGCTAATGATGACGATTAATTGAACCAGTTGGAAGCGGTTCTTAACAGGAACCGGTTCTCGATTCCCATCCCTAGCTATAACTTTGTTCCAGAATGTTTCACCACTCAAACACTACACGAAACATGACATAAAACACTAAATAAAGTACAAATTGATGATAAAATAATTCAAACTCCAACTTGCTGGGTCTTGCCTGAGTTATTCATTTGGTACTCCAACTTAAATAGCCTACCTGTCCCATTGCACTTATCCATGTTGGAGGTTTTTTTTCCAAGTTACAAGAACAATGGATTGCAGGGTCATTCTGTTGTTTTCTGTTACAGTCACAAAACATCTGAACTTAAACTGGAGTGTGAAGAAGAGGAGCTGGAGCCATGGCAGAAACACACTTTACATGTTCGCTTGAAAGAAGAGCATGATGTTGGAGAGTTGAGTATGTCACACCAAATTACTGAAGAGGTTTTCAAACATCTCAGTACTGTAAAGTCTGCTAGTTCTTATTGTAAAAATTCTGTGTTGTTACAGTAATTATCTTCATCCGTTTCTTAAACTATACCCTGTTGGGTCCTAAAAGTAAAATTGCATGTAATGTATAATTTGGTCTTTTTGTATGTTCTTTCAGGTGATGACAAAACAGATTGTAAACCAAATTCTTCGTCTCTTCAGAGCTGGGCAGCTGGTCAGCACACTGTGACACCTGAGGCCTGTGGCGCTAGCCACACTTCTGAGGGACATCAAATCAGCAACAACCCCATGTCCTTATCCAGTGTCCAGAGTCCTGAAGTATATGCAGCATCATCTGACAAACTGCAGTCAGACCAGTCCAACTCACAGACCTTCTCTGTACCTTTTCCTCCACCGTGCCTTACTGCGATTAAACTTGAACCAACTGAAACATGAAACATAAAATAATAACCTGAAACAAAAGGGGAAGTTCACAAGTTACAGTTACACACAATTTGTTGTCGAACATAAATGTGTCATATCTGATGCACAAATTGATAAATTGCAGATTATTTGCACATCTAAGTGTTGTCTCCTCCGACATGATGACAGTCTGGGGAACCCTGTTCACAACACCTGTTACCTCAATTACCAAGTCCACATAAAACGAATCCATTTATTGAAAACTTTGGTACCAGCCTTTTGGTTAAATGCTACCTCATATGTACAGGTTTGTAATACAGTGTATAGCGAAATAAATTCTTTAATTAAAACTCATTTCCAAGTGATTTATTGCTTAATTCAAATGAATGGTGTTGGGAATTGAAAGGTCAGTTAGCTCCTATATTAGGAAGTGGTTGGGCGGTCCTAGGTGCCAAAGTAGTGTTGCATTGTATGGAAAAGGGATACTTCAGCTGCCAGTATCTAGTTTAACAGAGGAATTTAAATGTACCAAGGTCAGGACAGAGCTCTTGTTATCTGGGAGTAAGGACGTGGTAGGTAGGAGTGTGGTTCCAAATCATGCAGAGATTGTAGATTGTAGGTAATGTTCAGTTTGCCTGGGGAGGCCTGGGGCTTGGCTCAGGCAAACCAGTATGGAATACAGCAGGTCCCAAAGATAAAAGATAGTGGCCCAGGCTAAACAGGGACAGTGGTTGAATTGGGAAAGTGTAGAGAAGAGGAAGCTTAGTTGGAGGGACCTGTGGAGTTTGGAGGAGAATCGTATTAGATTCCTGGTAGGGGCCACATACGATGTGTTACCAACCCCCCAGAACGTAAAACTGTGGGTAAATGAGGACCCATCATGCCCATTGTGTTCAGGTACCGCAACCTCAAAGTATATTTTGTCAGGCTGTAAAGATAGCTTGTCACAAGGCCGATATACATGGCGACATAACCAGGTGTTGAAATGTTTAGCTGCAGGCATCGAAGGGAAACGAAGACAGGTGAATTCAGAAGGTGTTAAGGATAGGAGTTTAGCACTTCAGTTTGTCCGTGAGGGGGAGAAATACAGAAATGATAAGTTAGTAAGGAGGCAAGGGTGTGGCCACCTAGAAGGTGCTTGTGATTGGGAAATGCAAGTAGATTTAGGGGGAAAGCTTGTTGTTCCCCAGGAAATAGTCTGTACCAGGCAGAGGCCTGACGTAGTGTTGTGGTCAGTGAGTCAACAGATAGTTTATTTCATTGAGCTGACAGTTCCTTGGGAAGACTCAGTGGAAGCAGCCCATGAAAGAAAAAAGCTTAGATATGTAGACTTAGGAGCAGAAGCTGAGCAGCGAGGATGGAAGACTAGGATTTGTCCAGTGGAAGTGGGGTGTAGGGGATTTATAGCAAGATCAGCTGTCTCGCTCCTGGGGGAACTCGGAGTGCGGGGACAGAGTTTTAGGAAGACAGTGAAGGAAATGTCAGATGAAGCAGCCAGAGCCAGCCAGTTTATCTATAAGAGACGAAATAATGTCAATTGGGGGCCAGCAGGGGGAACTACTAAGCAGGGTACATAACTCCTTGAGATCAGGTGGAGAGATCCACTTCCTCTCAGGAGGAAATCCAAGGCTATTCAAGAGAAGGCTGAGACACGGGGTCAAACATGGGGGGATTGCACATGCGCAGTGTAACTTGAGCTGCGATGGAGGGTGACAGCAGGGGCGCTAGATAAAAAGCGCAGGATCCACTCAGGCGATCTAGGAGTGCGCTTGGTGCGGTCTGCTTGGACTTTTGGATGGCGGCTGCCTGAAGTTGTCCGAATTGCATCTCTGTCATTCTCACCCACAACGCAGGCCACCAGTGACAGTCCAGTAATAAGCTGTGAAAATGACATGCATGCACATCCCCTTTATTCCGCGGTCTCACGCCATCTACTGAGCCTTTGAGGAAGTGCAGACCAGATTTTACTGCGCATGTGCAATCCCCCCATGTTTGACCCCGTGTCTCAGCCTTCTCTTGAATAGCCTTG